AACATCAGACCTGGGAAGAAGGGTACCTTATTACTCCCACTTACAGATGAGCAAACTGGGGCTTAGGTTGATTATGAGTTAAATAACCACCCTGAAGAGGATGGATGACAAAGGGCATCTGGAGGAGACGAGGGCAGGACCAACCTGGCATCACCACCAGAAATTGGGTCAATCCCAGGCACCCAGTCACTCCTCGGTCCTCATCTCAGGTGACCCTCCAGGCATCTGATAGAATCGCTCATACCTTCTGCGGCGAAAGCCTTTCCATTTGGACACCACCTTACCCAGTTCACCCTGCCCCACCCCCTGCCCTGGGGGACAGTCTCTAACCTCTAATGTGGGGGAGTCCGGGGCTCAGTGCTTGCACATCTTCTATATCTGATGACCTCCTGGCCCCCAGCAATCCCTAATGTGTAGCTATAGACCTCGCCCCTCCCGGGGTGCTGGCTGCAGCTGTCAGACTGGAACCCTTGCCTCTGCTTCTGCTGAATTTCAGGGGGCCTGGTCTGCAGCCCCACTCCAGAGCTCCCCACAGGCTGTCCCATCTCAGGACACGGAGCAAGTCTCTCCTTCTTGTCTCTGACCGTCAGATCTGACCCGCTGACCAGACTGGTCTGTTCTACTCACATGCTTCAGCCTGGTCCAGTCACCCCACCTCCACCTTACCTGGGTCAGAGGGGCCTCCTGGCTTCCTCTCTTGCCCCTCAGTCTGCTCTCCAGGCAGCAACAGGGGCAGGGTGGTCTTGGGGAAGCTGAGGGGGATCACATTCCCCTGTCCTCCACGTTCTAGGTAGAAGTCAGTCCTGCCAGTTGCCGAGGGGCCTCCCTTCCTGTCCCGCCCCTGCTCATCTGCCTGGCCACTCAGCTCTTTGCTCTTATCCCTAAGTGCCCAGCAAACATCCCTCTTCTTGTAATTCTTCCAGACCCCTTAGCCTTTCCCCTCCCATGGCTAATCATGTTGGGTTAGGGTTGGTTAGATCAATGAACTCTAAGTGCGTGTGTGCTAGGTTTCTTCAGTTGTGTCCGACTCTGTGACCCTATGGACCATAGCCCGCCAGGCTCCTCAGTCCATGGGATTCTCCTGGAAATAATACTGGAGTTGGTTGCCATGCCCTCCTCCAGAAGATCTTCCCGGTCCAGGGATCGAACCTGTATCTCTTATTTCTCCCGCATTGGCAGGTGGGTTCTTTACCACTAGCACCATCTGGAAAGCCCCTAATGAACTCGAAGGACCTTCATTTTAAGGACATCTCTTCTCCATCATTCTCAGGCTAATTTCCCATGGTGAGAGGGAGTCAGGGATTCTTCTCCACCCCTTGGTCCGGTCTTCCAACTCCAGATCCTGCCCACAGCCAAAAATTTTTTAAATATAAAAAAATTCAAAAACCTTAAAAAATGTAAGCAAAGTAGAAGGGACAGAGGGAAGACAGACACAGGAGATGGGCCAGAGGTTGGAGGGATGCAGCCTCAAGCCGAGGAATGCCGGGAGCCACGAGAAGATACACGAGGTGGGAAGGATAGTCATCTAGAGCAGGGGTCCCCAATTTCCGGAACCTAATGCTTGATGATCTGAAGTGGAGATGATGTAATAATAATAATAGAGACAAAGTGCACAATAAATGTAATATGCTTGAATCATCCAGAAACCATTCTCCCGCCCCCACCACCGTGGACCGGTCTGTGGAAACACTGTCTTCCACGAAACTCGTCCCTGGTGCCAAAAGGTTGGGGACCGCTGCCCTAGAGCTATCAGCGGGAACGTGGCTTAGAATTCTGGTCTCCAGAACTGCTAGAGAATGCATTTCTGTTGTCTTAAGCTACCCAATTTGTGCTTATTTGTTATAGCAGCCACAGTACCAAATACAGCGGGAGCTGTGGGCTGAATTGTGTTCCCTCCAATTCGTCTGTTGAAGCCCTAACCCTCAAAATGACCGTATTTGGAGGAAGGGCTTTTAAGAGTAAAAAAGTTGAATGAGGTCATGGGGTGTGGTCCTAATTGACTGGTGACCTTAAGGGAGAGGAAGAGATCTTTCTCTCTCTCCACGAGCACCCGGAGAGACTTCGTGGGCACACAGGGGGATGGTGGCCGCCTGCAAACCAAGATGGGAGGCCTCAGAACGAAACCTGCCTTGCCACACCTTGATCCTAGATCGTGGCCTCTAGAACAATGAGAAGTGTGTCTTTTGTTTAAGCTGCCCTGTCAGTGGTATTTTGTTCTGTCAGCCTGGGTGGAACAGGTAGACCAAACCCACAGAGATGCGGTGAGTAGCTCAGGAAAGTACAGGGCCAGCACTTGAGGCCAGAGCTTTGGGCCAGTGGCCTGCAGGCGCTCCGGTCCAGCAGCAGCATCAGCAGTCTGACCGCGCGCCCTCTGGAATGCTGCTGCTGGCAAGTCGCCGGCAGGGGACGGGAACCGGCAGGGGCGGGTTGGGCCTCAGAGCCAGGGCAGAGTCCTGGCCCCAACAGGCCAAGGATAGGCGCCAACAGCACTGAAGTGAACTTCAAAGAAGGTGCTCCATGGGGAGGTTTTGCGAAGGTCACAAGGCCTGAAAAATCACCCCCAGGGGCCTTTTCTGAACTGGAAGTGGGAACAGGAAATAGCTAAATGAGATTCATCTTGGAAAAATGCAAGCTCATACATCTGGGTAAAACTAATCCAAAACACAGCATGAGATACCACAGTGCAGAGCAGGGGGCGGACTGCAACCCTCAGGGCCGCTGAGTGGGCCTATGCAGCCTCTGATTTTGCTCAGGGTTGGTCTCAGTGTGGGCAGCAGGAGGCTGGGGACTTAGACATCTGGGAACTCCAAGCCAGGTTTACTGGAAAGAGAGGGCTGAGGTCTCCACTTCTCAGCTGGCTGGACAGTGACCTAGTGGTTCAGGAAGGGGTGAAGAGGAAAAGGGCAACCATCAAGGCCATGGTCTTGTGCGTTGGTGCCCAGGCCTCCACTGGGTGGCTACCAAGGATCACCCTTCATAAAGCCTCCCTGGGCCCACGGAAAGCCCTGTGTTCCTCATTTTTGCAAGCTGTCCAGTGTTTTAAGTATGATGGGTCATTAAAAGTTGCCTCTGCCTCCCCAGGAGAGAACTCAGGTACCCAAAATGGAGCCAGAGGCCATTAAAAGGAACAGGAGTGGTTTCAGGGGGTAGGCTACTGCTCCCTGAGGAAAGGCAGCACCTGCAGATGGGGAAGTAACCCCTTACAAAGAACCTGGGAGCTCCCCCTTCCCACATGGCAGGAGGAGAAATGAACATGGGAAATGAGAGAGGGGCTGCGTCCCAGGCCTCCCAGCTTCACAGTGTGTGTGCTGGGCCCAGGAGGGCAGACTGGGAGCTGGTGGGGAGGCCCAGAGGGGACCTGGGCTCAGGCACCTGCCTCCCTCAGCCCTGTGCCCACTGACTAGGGAAGGGCTGTGGGGTGTGGGGAGTGGGGGAGGGAGATGAAGGATGGTATATCAGATGGTATAACAAAGAGATTCCAAAATGTAATGCCTGAAAATAGGAGAGACACACAGAACATTCAATGTTGTCAAGATGTCTGCTTTCCCAACCTGATCTAGAGATTCAGTGCAATACCAGTTTTGGAAAAGGAATTGTGGGGTGAGATTTCTGTTTTCATTTTGTTGGGTATGGTTGCTAAATTGGCTTCCAAAAAGTCCCTCCTACAAATTGCCAATTCCCTCATGTGTGATCAATTTATAAACATTGGTTAATGTGACAGGTAAAAATATTCATTTAAATTTGCCCTTGTGTGGTGATTGGACCCATCAGGCAATCTGGTATGTGTTTTTGTTTTTAAAAGGAAAAAAAAATAATTGTTTGGCTGTGGGACACAGGGGAATCTTAGTTCTCCCACCAAGGATGAAACCTGCACCCCCTCCAGTGGAAAGGTGGACTCTTAACCACTGGACCACCAGGGAAGTCCCTAGTATGTTTTTGAGAAGCCTTTCTTCTGTAAATTGCCTACTGGTGTTCTCGCTCATTGTATTTTCCTTATTTATCTGTGAACAATTTCTTAATTACAGGAATTAAATTCAAGATGTGTCACAGTACCCCACCCCCCGTTTGCCTTTAAATTTTTAAATAATTTAAAATATGTATGTCAAACATCATTTTTTTCCTTTAGTGTCTCCAGGTTTATTGTGATACTTAGGGCTTAAAAAACATTCATCGGCTCCCCAGCACAATTTTTGTGTTGTTTCTTTCTTAGATTTGAATGTATGATCCATCTGGATTTTATTTTGGTGTTAAGCGTGAGGGAGGGAGCCAACTTCTATTTTTCCAAGTGGCCGGCCAGTCGTCCTAACGCCGTTTGATTGCAAAAGACTGAAAAATCTTTCCCGGGGTTTGAAGCGACCACTCCACCAGCATGCTTCAAGCTGGCGCGTTTGCCCAAAGACCCCTCGCCGCCAGGTTTCCGCGGCCCATCTGTCCGGCCAGGTCTAGTCGGAGGAGGCGAAAAAAAAGCGGGTGGAGTGGATATTCCGCTCCTGAGAACTATTCCACTCGTACCAGCCACCGACCGACCACTAACCTCCTTTCCTCACCTTTGCGCCCAGGACAACCCACAGACACCACTACCGCTTCACCTCCACCCTCCAAGGACAAAGCCCCCTGACCCACGTCGAGGAAGTCTCCCTTACCTCCCACCTCCTCCCTCTCAGCTCCCACCCGGCGGGTGGTCCCAGGAATGGGAGGGGACTTTCTACAAGGGTAATTTAAATAAAAGGTGTGTGCTCTGGTTATTTGCATAGAGGCGGGGCCTCTAAAGTCGGCCTCCACCTCGCTCCGAACGACCCAGGGGGAGAGAACCACCCGGAGACTTAATTTGCAGGGGGTGGGGCCTCCCTCTTTAAGTGGAGCCGGGAGCCACTTCCCCTTCCAGTCGGCTTCCGGTCGCTGTCGCTTCCGGCTTCTGTCTGCCTTCCGCACGCTTTCTTTCTGGCTTCTGTCCAGGCTTCCGCTGCTTTCGTTGGGCGCTGCTGGTGGCCGGGGTCCTAATGCTACCGAAACGACGGCGAGCGCGGGTCGCGTCCCCCAGCGCCGCCCCTTCCTCCGCGGTGCGCTTCCCGGGGGTCACTATCTACCTGGCAGAACCACACATGGGCCGCAGTCGCCAGGGTTTTCTCACACGCCTGGCTGTCTCCAAGGGTTTCCACGTCCTTAATGCCTACAGGTGCGCGGTCGTGGCGAAGCTCACTGCTAGGCGGGGTCACCTTCCTGGGGCCGCTTTTCCAGGGCTTGCTTTCCGAGGGGCGCGGGGCGGGTGCCGGCCAACGGCCTCGCCTCACCGAGGAATGTGGCACGCCCATATCTATCACCGCGCCGTCGCGCCGGGCCGGCCGAGGGCCGCTGCTGCGTGGCGTGAAGGCCTGAGCACAAAATGCCCGTCCTAGGAATTTTGCAGCTGACCAGCCACTTGTATACACGGTGTTACCTTAGAGCTGAGGATACTGAAAAGACTCCCATGCAGCTGACCCCGGGGCGGAGGGGCATCTGAGGTTCTTGGATTCCAAGTTAACCCTGGCACTTTATGGTCATATGGCTTTTGTTAATTTCCTTTTTTGTAAAAGGGTGTTAGCAGTTATGGCCAGGAGTGGTTCTGTAGGACAAGGAGAGAACATGCCGGAGGCTTTGTAAAAGTCATGCGGGTGTGTGTTGGGTTAGTAATGCTTAGTTAGGTGAATTCATCTTGCCCTGTTAGTTAAACAGATCTCTCCTCAGAGCTGAGAAAGTGATTTAAGTGAGACTTCCAAGAGTAGAATTAAACCAAACAAAACGGTCACAGAAGCAATGCTAAAAGTAAGGGAGGAGGGTTCCAATCGTTTTGAAGTTGAGAGAGCAAAGTGAACCAGGGGCCAGTCCCCCTGAAGCTTAGTTAACCATACCCAGGGTTGTGGCAGATCCACTCAGGATGATGACAGCAGCCTAGAGTGCACTGGGCACTATCTAAGCCCCTTTGCTTATTATTAGCTCGTTTAATCTTTACAGCAAGCCTACAAAGTAGATATATTAATATCTCTGCTTTGCAGAGTTGGAAGTCAAAAGTACAGAGATAAATGATGTGCCCAAGGGCACAGAGCAAGTGTGGGGCAGAGCTGAAGTTCAAAGCCAAGTAGTCTGTCTCCAGCATTTGGAAGTAGGACCCACCCACCCCCACCCGCCTTGCTTCCTGGACCCCAGGCCCCTGGCCTCTCCTTTCTCTGGGCTTGAGGGAGAAGAAGACAGACAAATTAACAAAAAAGGGTTGGGCTTGTGATCCTAGCTAGAGCAGAGAACCACAGCTCGGCAGATGCTGGAGTGATGGAGATGTTTGACTGCCAGGAGGAGGGGCTGAAAATCTGGAGTGAACAGATGCTCACCAGGCAGAGGGGATAGTATTGGCGAAGGCTTGGAGATGTAGAATGGAGCAGGAAGAATGGCAGGCTTGGGAAAGGGCTCCAGGCCTCACATTCTCTTCCCTCCCCCTAGCCCGGAGGTGACACATGTGGTGATGGAGGGGACCTCAGCGGAGGAGGCTGTCTGCTGGCAGGAGCGCAAGACGTCGGCTCTTCCCCCAGGTTGTACCCGCCCAGCGCTTTTAGACATAAGTTGGTTCACAGAGAGCATGGAAGCTGGGCAGCCTGTCCCTGTGGAATGCCGGCACCGCCTGGAGGTGAGCTGGGTGGAGGCTTAGGGTAGAGCCACTGAGGAAGCCCCAGTGCTGGCCAGACCTCAGCTGGGACAGGTGACATGGCAGCAGTGCCTCAGTGTCCTTCCCGTGAGTTGGGCAGTGAGGACCCCATCCATACCACCACGGGAAGGTCCCGGTGCTTCCTGGGTGAGCACAGTGGAGGGGTTCAGGTGTGGGCTCGGAACAGGGCTGCCTGCATTCAAATCCTGGCTCTGCCCATGAGCCACAAGGTCTCAGAGTCCCCAGTTGTGACGTGAGGGTGATAGGCATGCCAGGCCCACTTGATTGAGAGGAAGTGACAGAACACGTGCCCTGTGAGAGGTAGCATTGTACCACTGCTGCTGCTCTGGCCTCTGCCCTGTGCCTCTAGCAGTTCTGCCCTCTCAGAGTTGGCTCCTGTCCTGAGAGCCTGAGGTGACCCCCCCATACCAGGAGAAGTAGGGCTCTGGGGGGCTGCCTGGTCCTCTGCCAACCCTGCAGCCTCAAAGCAGCCTGTGCGTTGCCCATCCTTAGGTGGCTGTGCCCAAAAAGGAGATGCCAAGCCCAGCATGGATGCTGCCCTATGCCTGCCAGCGTCCCACACCTCTCGTGCACCACAATGCCAGCCTCTCGGTGAGCTGTGGCTCCCCCGCCTCCCTGGGATGGAGCCAGGCCCTCCTGTGTCCCAGCCTTGGAGGGAGGGTTAGGGTAAAGCACCCCACCATCCCTGCCTCTCACCAAGGACCCTTCCCTGCAGGAGGCTCTGGAGACGCTGGCAGAGGCCGCTGGCTTTGATGGCTGTGAAGGCCGCCAGATCGCCTTCTACAGAGCGGCCTCAGTGCTCAAGGCCCTCCCCAGCCCGGTCACAACCCTGAGCCAGCTGCAGGGCCTGCCGCACTTCGGAGAACACTCCTGCAGAGTTGTCCAGGTTTGTGCTCACTGCATGTAGACAGGCAGAGCTGTGAGTGTGAATGGGGGTGGCGAGGAGGCCTGGGAGCCTGGTGAGGGCAGGTGAATGGGTGGCTCAGAGCGCAGCTGTGGCCACTGATGGTGCCCAGGCAGCAGCAAACCACCCTGTTCACCCACATTCCTCATGTGTAACTTGGGTCGGCACCACCTGCCTGAGGCTGACTGAGAGGTCTCAGCCAAGGGAGCTGCCAGGAGTCTGGCAGGCTGGTAGCTGACATCGTGGGCATTGGCCCAGACTGTCAGGGATGGTGGGAGAGGACCCCTGAGCATGAGTACTTCTTTTTAAAATGTGAAGTTGTCCTTTTGTATGTTACCACTGAGCAAATTTATCATGACAGAAAAAATACTTTTGAATTCACCTCTGTGTGTTTTTTTTTAATTTATTTTATTTTTTGGCTGCATGGCATGTGAGATCTTAGTTCCCTGACTGAACCTGCATCCCTTGCTTTTAAAAGAAGTCTTATTGAATTCACCTATGTTTTAAAAAAGCAGTTGTTGACATACCCCGGGGCTTGTTGTTTATCTGAGAGGTGGCCCTTGTTCCTCGCCCAAGGGGCTTGGAGGATCCCTGGGTATATTCTTCATTACAAGTTCCCTGGGATCCTGGCCCCACAAAGACGCCGCTTCTGGGTGTTAGGAGTTCTGCTGAGGCCTTGGGCCCCCCAGCCCTCTTCTTTCCAGTGAGGCTATGTCTCCTCCCACAGGAGCTGCTGGAACACGGAGTATGTGAGGAGGTGGAGAGAGTCCAGCTCTCAGAGAGGTACCAGACCATGAAGGTACGCAGGGCAGCCCCCAGCAGGGGCCCGCAGCTCCACAGTGTTCCCCCAGAGCCACAGCAAGGTTACCACCATGTCAGACAGCAAGGGGGGTGGCAGGTCCCACCCTGGGGTCAGAGAGGGTCTTACTGAGGACACCTGATATGCATGAGGCAGCCAAACAGATGGGCAATGAGAAGGTTGTTTTGAGCACAGGGAATTTTCTAGATCATTCAGCAGCATCTGTTCTTATTTGACTATTGATGGCATATTGTCCAGGATATTACATGCCCTGGCATCTTAAACAGAGCACCCTGAACAAAACAGAACCTTTCTCTGGGTGCCACAGGGACGATTCAGTCTGAGGGGCTGCTCGTCCTTGCACTGTCTCTGCCTTTTGTGATCTCACATGCTCATTTGTTGGTGTCGTGTTGCCTGTGTCCACGGCACACCTTCTCGTTATTCCCACCCACTTCTGGTCTTGTGGATGCTCAGTCATGCTTCTCAGACACCCCAGTTTTGTGACTGGAGGTTGTCAGACCAGCGACTGGTCATGTAATTGGGGCTTCCCTAGCAGGATGTGTCAGGTGCCATGGAAGGTCACCCAGAAGGTGAGGATCAGTGAGGTGGGGAGCTTCAGAGAGGTAGAGGAGCCATGGATGAAGCAGGGGCTCGGGTGGGGCGACACAGGAGTCGATGGGTGAAGCGGCGCCGAGAGGGGCAGAGCCATCTGTCTCTTCCTGGGTACCCCTGAGTCCCAGAAGGCGTCCAGGCCAGGAGAGAAGGATGAACAATGAGAGGTTTATTGTTACAAACGTGATTAGGTTATTTTCAGCATCTTTCGTCTCAGGAGTCTGTTGGTGAAAGTGATCCTGTTCATGCTGTTGGTTCAGGGGATAACACAGCCCGGTCTGCAGGAAGTAGGACTCAGGGACATGAGCGCCAGCCGGCTGTTCTTCCTCTCTGTGCACACCAGCAGCCTCCCCATGAAGGTGCCCCTGGCGTGTACTGCAGTCTGTACCACTGCAAGGTTGCCCTTTTGTTTCAACCCCAAAAGTTCCTGAGGAGGGACTCTTAAGTGGCTGGCCTAGGGCAGGTGCCCACCCCTGACGAACGAGCTATAGTCAGGGAAGAAACAGTGAGTTTCTAGGGCCCACCCTGTGTGTGGAAGACCCATGCAAGGGCAGGCGGCCACCCTATGAGAGGTTGGCTCCAGCAACATAGTTTCCACTGGCCTGGACACCTCTGCTGACCCATGGCCAGGCAGTGGCACTTGCTGTGTTTGTTCCTGGAACAGAGCCATAGCCAGCCCCCAGCTATTCCTTCCAGATCCTGCTAAAACAACCCCTCAGCTGTTACCTGCCCGTTTTTGCTGTTTTAAGAGGCAGAGCCACAGCAGCAAGTCCCAGCTACTCTTGGGTGGGAGCAGTATGGTTTTCCCAGTGAGTGGACAGGCTGTTAGGATGACTCCTTTGGTGATGTTGGAATCATGGGCTAGAACTGTACAAGTTGTGAGGAGAGATCATTTTCAAGGAGGGGCCTGATCCTTCCCTGCCGTCCCCCGTGATGTTTGCGTCAGGGCCAGGCTCGGGGTTTGAGTCCTGCCTCTGCACCCACTGTGTGGCCTGAGCAGATTATTTAAACATGAAAAATGTGAGTAGGGATGCCACCTGCCAGACCACATGATGACTTAATGAGGTCATTTGTGCAGTGCCACAGGGGTGCTGTCCTAGGACATGCCTTGCGTACATCAGTGGCGCCCATCCTCATCTTGCACTAAGAGCTTTGCTCCTGACCACACTGTACTCATCCTCTAAACAGCTCTTCACTCAGATCTTTGGGGTCGGGGTAAGGACTGCTGACCAGTGGTACCAAAAAGGGCTCCGGACACTGGATGACCTCCGAGAGGAGTCCCAGAGACTGACCCAGCAGCAGAAAGCAGGTGAGCTTTCTGAGAGAGGGCGGAGCCCTGGGCTCCCCCAAAGCACCAGGGCCTGAAAGCCTCCCACACCACAGAACCCTTAGCTCTGATGCATGGCATGTGCTCATGGCTGCCTGTGTGGCAGGGAGCAGGGTGAGTGTGAAAACAGGCGTCTGTATTTGGTGGCTTCCTGAACCGGTGGAGTCAGGACTCATTGCAAGCCCTTCTCAGTGAATGATAATGGTCACAGTAGCTGTCTCCTGGTTAGACTTGGACCTGAACCAGGCATGGACCCTGTACTCCTGATTTCATGGGAGGGAGAGCAGGTCAGAGGAGCCCAGGCCCTGGACACACTTACCAGTGTGGTGCTTGGTGGCCTGGCCTGCTGGCTGATGCCCAGTGGGGAGAGGTTCGGTGAAGAGCCTGCTGGTGGGAGGTAGCGCTATGCAACGGAAAGAACGTGAACTTGAGAGTTGACTAGGCCTGGATTTGAGTTCCATCTCTGCCGCTTACTAGGTAGGAGACCGTAGCCCTGAGATTTGACTTCTCTGAGCCTCAGTTACGTTCTCTCTAAAGCATGGGATTCTGTGAGCTCTGGCATGGAACCAGCATGTAGCAGGTGTTGAGTGGATTCTCTGTCTCCATGTGGCCTGGGTTGGGGGCCCTTCTGAAGGAGCCCCACAGCCCAGCACTCCTTGCCTCTTTGAACATCTTCCCAGGGGCTGGGGGAGGCCACCTGGGGGTCCTGGGAGAGCTGTCTGGTTGGTCAGCAGGAAGTGAGACCAGAGAGCCGTGTGTCCAGTGGAGCATTATGCAGTGACATCTGTTGGTTCCACTTACTCACCTCTCCCCAAGGAATGGCCAGCAGTGCTTACTGAGCTCGCCCTGTGCCAAGGGCCCTAACTCCCACCCTTAGTCCCCTCCTAACACTGTGTGGAAGGTGCAGTGATTTCTCTGACAGGTGAGGAGATGGATTTGGGTTCAAGTGAGGTGTTCTTAAGTGGCAGGGTCATCCTCTTCACCTCTAATACCTCCTAGTCCCATTTTATGGATAGGAAAACAGAGAAGTTGAAAAGGATAGTCTGTGTCTTGATTGTGTCAATGTCAGAATTCTGTTGTGATATACAGTAGTTCTGCAAGATGTTACTGAGAGCACAGAGGACCTTTTCCTTCAACTATATGTGGATCTACAATTATTTCAAAATAAAAGTTTAATATTTAAGAGAGAGGAGGGGTGATGGTAGATAGCTCAAGAGGGCTGGGTTGGGCCAGTGAGGACAGCAGTACTTCCACAGGACTCCAGCACCACCAGGACCTGAGTGCCCCGATCCTGCGGTCAGATGTTGAGGCCCTGCAGCAAGTGGTGGAGGCAGCCGTGAGGCAGGCCCTTCCTGGGGCCACTGTCACGCTGGCCGGAGGCTTCCGGAGGTAAGGGGACTCGACACGCCCTCCGGCTCAGCTCCAGGCCCTCCTCAGGGAGGGCGTCTGAGGTGGGACCACTGAGGCGGGCCTTCCCTCACTGAGGGGTTTTGGGAGAACATGGAGGCTGTGAGTCAGACTGGCCCCCTCAGGGGGAAGTTGCAGGGCCACGACGTGGATTTCCTCATCACCCACCCCCAGGAGGGCCAGGAGGCAGGGCTGCTGCCCAGAGTGATGTGCTACCTGAAGAAGCAGGTGAGGGGCTTCCCGCTTCCCCTGCTGAGAGTCCTGCTAGGATTCCAGCTCCTGGTTTCTCAGTCCCACATGGCAGTGCCCGGCCATGTCTGTTCTCCTCCAGGGCCTTGTCCTGTACCACCAGCACAGCCACCAGGGAGACCTGACGCAGCAGAGCCACACCATGGATGCCTTTGAGAGGAGTTTCTGCATTTTCCGCCTGCCACAACCCCCAGGGGCTGCTGTGGGTGGTGCCCAGAAGCCCTGCTTCGCCTGGAAGGCGGTGCGGGTGGACCTGGTGGTTGCCCCTGTCAGCCAGTTCCCCTTTGCCCTGCTTGGCTGGACTGGCTCCAAGGTAGGGAGTGTGCTGCTGGGGCTGGCCGTGGGATCTGGGGTTGGTGGCCCTGCTGAGACGTGGTCACTTTTTCTCCAGCATTTTGAGCGGGAGCTACGCCGCTTCAGCAGGAAGGAGAGGGGCCTCTGTCTGAACAGCCATGGTCTGTTTGATCCGGAGCAGGTGTGTTGCTGTGATGGGAGGTCTGGGGGCTAGAAAACAGCTTTCTCTTTGGCCCACAGTATGAATCAGCCCCAGGGCCCTCAAGAGGCATCTACCATAGGGCTGGACTCTGCCAGTATTTCTAGCCTCCTCCCCATACCTTTCTCGGGGAATCTGCTGCAGTGGAGGGAACGGCCCCCAGGCCCTAATGCCTGCATTCTGTTGCAGAAGACGGTTTTCCACGTGGCCTCAGAGGAAGACATCTTCAGACTCCTGGACCTTGAGTACCTTCCCCCAGAGCAGAGAAATGCCTGATCCTATCAACCCCACCTCTACTCTGGAAATTGAGGGGGTCATTTGAACCAGACTCTATTGATGTTTTTGGCCCCTAACTATTTCCAGGCAGAAGATCTGCTGCTGCCCCAAGTCCTTACCCCTTCCATGTGGGAGCCCTGTCTGTGAACCACCACTCCCCCACCTATACCCAGTTCAAGATGTAATGAAATTAGCATGTGGAACAAACAAAGCTGTATTTTCTGAATGTGCTGCTGGTGTGGGTGACTGAGGGGCACGGTGCCTGGTTCTGCCCAGAGGTCAGCTTTGGGGTGTCAGTGAGGGTGGAGGATGTTGACCCAGCAAATAGACTTCGTTATTTCTCCAACAAAAATGGGTTTATCAGGATCAGCGGAGAATCAGTCTGTAACCATGGCAAGCCATGTGCAAGTCCCCAGCAAAAATGGAGAGGAAAACTTTTATAGAGGGGAAAAAGGAATTTGAGAGGCCTATAGGTAAACGTGAGTCCATGGCTTTTTGTTGGCTGAGTCCTTGTCAGGAAAGAAGTGGAAGTCTTTCTTTCTGTTGGGCTCTTGCTATCATTATAGGGCATGAGTGCTCACCCTTCTGGTCTCCCAACTCTTGAGGTTTCTGTTTATTTTTTTTAACACTTGCCCCTTTCGATCAAGATCTTTTTCTGAAAGCATCACTAATCTGAGTCAGGTTTTCTAGTTTCAGGGTCTTATTGACCTTCTGTGCAAGGAAAGGCTTTTCCTCAGTGTAGTGTCCCACATCAGGGAGAAAATGCACAGATTGGAGATCTGTTGAGGTCATATTTAGGAATCGAGGGGTAGGAGGGAGAACTCTTAGGCACTTTTTATCGCAAGTCCATATGTTACCAAGATCCTTGATGTTAAAGAGCCTGTGTTAGCATTATGTCATCAAAGGTTTGGTGACAAATTTCCAACAGGCCTGGTCTAGGTATCTTTGGAAAGCTGTCTCAGCAGATGTCATCTGCTTCAATTCAGGGAAATCTACTTTCAGGTCACCAGATGATTTGAAGGTCCAGATAGGGTTTGGTGCTTTCCTTAGGTGTATCATATGAAAATAGGAGTTGTATTCTTTGGAGTTTTGCAGCACAGGGGGGCTAGCAGTACTGATAGCAGCCTCCTTCTCTTGGTGTCTTTTCCAACAGATGAAATTTCCAGGTTGCAAGATATGATGATCAAGGTCTTTCTCTCCCAAGCGTGCACTGTGAAAAAGATTGTTTTCCCAAAACATGACTTTGTTTTGTTCTTTCATTAAAATATTTATTCATTTGGCTGCTTCAGGTCTTGCTGTGGCATGCAGGACCTTTTGCTGGGGTGTGTGGGTTCCTCTCCAGTTGTGGCACTCGGGCTATAGAATGCATGGGCTCAGGAGTTGCAGTGCGTGGGCTTAGTTGACTTGTGATATGTGGGATCTTAGTTCCCCAACTAGGGGACCATGTCCCCTGCATTGGAAAGTGGATTCTTAACTACTGGACCCCCAGGGAAGTCCTAAAACATGGTTATTAAAAAAAAAACAATTAGGTCTTTGTAGTATTGATGTACCCCTCCTTTTTTTAGTCGGGGTCAAAAGAGGCAAGAGTCCAGTGCACTGCACATCCTGTGATTATCTGAAAGGGTATGAGAGCTCGACAGGAGGTGGCTCTCCGATTTAGAAAGACCAACAGCAACACTTTTGTAAAAGGGATTTGGAGGGTCTCTACAAGTGTTGCCAGTTGAATCTTAATAAAGCTCTTAGGTTATACCTGTATGGTCTAGTGGTTTTCCCTACTTTCTTCAATTTAAGTCTGAATTTGGCAATAAGGAGTTCATGATCTGAGCCACAGTCAGCTCCCAGTCTTGTTTTTGCTGACTGTATAGAGCTTCTCCATCTTTGGCTGCAAAGAATATAATCAGTCTGATTTTGTTATTGACCATCTGGTAATGTCCATGTGTAGAGGGTCTTCTCTTGTGTTGTCAGAAGTGTTTGCTGTGATCAATGCATTCTCTCTATTAGCCTTTCCCCTGCTTCATTCTGTACTCCCAAGACAAATTTGCCTGTTACTCCAGGTATCTCTTGACTTCCTACTTTTGCATTCCAGTCCCCTATAATGGAAAGGACATCTTTTTGAGGGTGTTCTAAAAGTTCTTGTAGGTCTTCATAGAACTGTTCAGCTTCAGCTTCTTCAGCATTATTGGTTGGGGCATAGACCTGGATTACTGTGATATTGAATGGTTTGCCTTGGAAATGAACAGAAATCATTTTGTTGCTTTTGAGATTGCATCTAAGTACTGCATATTGGACTCTTTTGTTGACTATGATGGCTACTCCATTTCTTCTAAGGAATTCTTGCCCACAGTAGTAGATACAATGGTCATCTGAGTTAAATTCACCCATTCCAGTCCATTTTAGTTTGCTGATTCCTGAAATGTCAATGTTCACTCTTGCCATCTCCTGTTTGACCACTTTGCCTTGATTCATGGACCTAACATTCCAGGTTCCTATGCAATGTTGCTCTTTACAGCATCAGACTTTACTTCCATCACTAGTCACATCCACAACTGGGTGTTGTTTTTTCTTTGGCTCCATCTCTTCATTCTGTCTGGAATTATTTCTCCACTTGTCTCCAGTAGCATATTGGTCACCTACTGACCTGGGGAGTTCATCTTTCAGTGTCCTATCTTTTTGCCTTTTCATACTGTTCATGGGGTTCTCAAGGCAAGAATACTGAAGTGGTTTGCCATTCCCTTCTCCAGTGGGCCACATTTTGTCAGAACTCTCCACCATGACCTGTCCGTCTTGGGTGGCCCTACAGGGCATGGCTCATAGTTTCACTGAGTTAGACAAGGCTGTGATCCATGTGATTTAGATTGGTTAGTTTTCTGTGATTGTAGTTTTCAGTCTGTCTGCCCTCTGATGGAGAAGGATAAGAGGTTTATGGAAGTTTCCTGATGGGAGAGACTGACTGAGGGGGAAATTTGGTCTTGTTCTGATAGGCGGGGCCATGCTCAGTAATTCTTTTATCCAATTTTCTGTTGATGGGCGGGGCTGTGTTCCTTCCCTGTTATTTGACCTGAGGCCAAAATATGGTAATAAAGATAATGGCAACCTCCTTCAAAAGGTCCCACCACACACTGCTACACTCAGTGCTCCCAACCCTGCAGCAGGCCACCACCAACCCACACCTCTGCTGGAGACTCCTGGACACTCACGGGCAAGTCTGGGTCAGTCCTTTTTTTTTTTTTTTTTTTTTCTGGGTCAGTCTTTTGTGGAATCACTGCTCCTTTCTCCTGGGTCCTGATGCACACAAGGTTCTGTTTGTGCCCTCCAAGAGTCTGTCTCCCCAGTCCTGTGTAAGTTCTGGCAGCTCTATGGTGGGGTTAATGGTGACCTCCTCCAAGTGGGCTTATGCCATAACCAGGTCTACTGCACCCAGAGCCCCTGCCCCTACAGTAGGCCACTGCTGACCGGTACCTCCTCAGGAGACACTCAAACACAGTTCTGTCTTAGTCTGTGTGGGGTCTCTGTGTCCTGGTGTGCACGAGGTATGTTTGAGCCCTCGAAGCATCGCTGGAAGGTATGGGCTTTGATTCTAAACATGATTTTGCCCCTCCTGCCATCTTGTTGGGGCTTCTCCTTTGCTCCAGTGCCACACAGCCACTGCTCCAGCACCTACCATCTCGCTGGGGCTTCTCTGCTCTTGGATGTGGGGTATCTCCTCACAGTCGCTCCAGCTCCATCCCCAAGAAAAAGAAATGCAAAAAGGCTAAATGGTTGTCTGAGGAGGCCTTAGAATAGCTGTGAAGAGAAGAGAAGAGAACAGCAAAGGACAAAAGGAAAGATATACCCATTTGAATGCAGAGTTCCAAAGACTAACAAGGAGAGAGAAGAAAGCCTTCCTCTGTGATCAATGCAAAGAAATAGAGGAAAGCAATAGAATGGGAAAGACTAGATATCTCTTCAAGGAAATTAGAGATACCAAAGGAGCATTTCATACAAAGATGGGGCACAATAAAGGACAGAAATGGTAGGGACCTAACAGAAGCAGATTTTAAGAAGAGGTGGCAAGAATACACAGAAGAACTATACAAAAAAGATCTTCACAACCCAGATAATCATGATGGTGTGATCATTTACCTAGAGCCAGACATCCTGGAATGTGAGGTCAAGTGGGCCTTAGGAAGCACCACTACGAACAAAGCTAGTAGAGGTGAGGGAATTTCAGTTGAGCTATTTCAAATCCTAAAAGATGATGCTATGAAAGTGCTGCACTCAATATGCCAGCAAATTTCGAAAACGCAGCAGTGGCCACAGGACTGGAAAAGGTCAGCTTTCATTCCAACCCCAAAGAAAGGCAATGCCAAAAAATGCTTGAACTACTGCACAATTGCACTCATCTCACACGCTATCAAACTAGTGTTCAAAATTCTCCAAGCCAGGCTTCAACAGTACATGAACTATGAACTTCCAGATGTTCAAGCTGGATTTAGAAAAGGCAGAGGAACTAGAGATCAAATTGCCAACATCCGTTGGATCATTGAAAAAGTGAGAAAGTTCCAGAAAGACATCTACTTCTGCTTTTATTGACTATGCCAAAGTCTTTGACTGTGTGGATTACCACAAACTGTGGAGAATTCTTAACGAGACGGGAATACCAGACCACCTGACCAGCCTCTGGAGAAACCTGCATGCAGTTAGGAAGCAGCAGTTAGGAGGCAACTGTTAGAACTGGACATGGAACAACAGACTGGTTCCAAATAGGAAAAGGAGTACGTCAAGGCTGTATATTGTCACCATGCTTATTTAATTTATATGCAGAGTACATCATGAGAAATGCTGGGCTGGATGAAGCACAAACTAGAATCAAGGTTGCCAGGAGAAATATCAATAACCTCAGATACGCAGATGACACCACCCTTATGGCAGAAAGTGAAGAAGAACTAAAGAACCTCTTGATGAAAGTGAAAAATGAGAGTGAAAAAGTTGGCTTAAAACAAACTCAACATTCAGAAAAC